CTTGAGTGCCGAGTTGAAATATCCGGACAGACGCACGCACACACACACCGGGGTCGTCACAATATGCGTTTTTGCATTTGCATATAAGCAAAAACGCATGAGAATGGATGAATACGGTAAGGGCAGAGTCCAGTGAAGGGATATCAAATCACTTATTCTTCGCTCCCTTCTTGATTTCTAATTACAGTGCTGGGGAGAAAGAAGAATTTGGTTGCATAAAAAAGTAAAAGGCTGCAAGAACTCTGAAATCGATCTTTCCGACAGTGATGTCTCAAATAACTAGCAAAAAGCAAATGTTTTTTTTTTTACATACCGAGATGACAAATTCGTCAGTGCCTTGAAATCATCTCTTCAAGTCTTTGCCAGCATCTTGTTATAGAAATTTTGCAAAACTGACAGTAAAATAACTGTTTGCCAACCTCTTTCCTTTCAATAAGATGTTGAGGGATTAACTAACGCAGCGAATCGCTTTTTATTCTTCAGAGAGGATTTTCTGATGCATTTTTCAAGAATATTTTGCAGGGACTGCTTATTGTAAAAAATCACTCAAACAGTTTTGAAACTACGTGAATTTTTTCAGATTTTGCTATGAAATACCAGTTCTCGTGGGCAAACCATCTCATCTCTGGTTTTTGCAAAACTTTTTTAAACATTCATGCAACGAACGAATTTTTTTGGAATGAATGTTACGGGTTCCACATATGCAAACATTAAATTCAAATACAAATACAAGCACATAAATGAGCATTTACAAACACCCACGTGCACACAGCCACATGCAAACACACACATGCGCGAAAAAAACAAACGCATTTACACGCATTCACTCACGCACTCACGTATGCACATGCAAATAAGCACACACTCACACATAAATACATTTATATTCATACGTGCAAATGCACATTGTGTCAGCTAGTGCTTTAAAAGAGATTGGATTGTGCAGAATTTTAAAATCTTATTTTTTAATGAATTTTGCAAAAAAGTCTGCAAAACTCACGAAATTTGCAATAAAAAAAAAAAGCCTGCAAAACGCCAGCACTGTGTTTCGTAGGCTCATTAAAGCAAAT